AATTTGCATGCCAAAGCATTAACGCTTTTGCCATTCGATAATTGCATGAAATGAAATCCAAAATTCCCCAATCCCCATTCCCCCCCGCTCGCTTCACTTTTCGACACGTTCACGTTTGCTTGACTTTGCCTTTTGGCCACTCCTTTGCTACGGAATATTCCCCTTTCTGTATGTGAATATCGATTGAGTTGCCCTGCTCTTCGCCTCGTTTTTTTTGTTTATTCAATTATAGTTATATGGCCAAAAGGGGGGCCTTTCTCTTTGGTCCTCCGATTCTGGGTTCTGGAGTGCCAGGCAAAGTTTATTTGGCTTGGAGTGGGATTGCAATCAGAGGGGATGGGCAATAGGAAATCCAATTGCTGCGCTGTGGCTTCTCCTTACACCCAAATTCAACGAAATGCAAATCCTCTGCAGCTCTGGCAGGTCAAAGAATTTTAGAAATTGCAGAATCCCAACTAAAATAAGGCATTTTTAACTACCAAATTTCATAGCTAAATGCAGAGCAGTTTATTAAAAAGATTGTTCAGCAGTGTTTAATGAAGGTATATTTTTTTTCCCCTAAAAAAATTTAAAATAAAATAAAAAACATTGAGGAAACAATAATTACTTTCATCTTAGCCCAAATTTAATTTTTTTCAATTTATTCTTTTTATGCTATAAACTCATAATTTAATGCACAGGACAAGTGTTTTAGAAACAATATTTTTAAGGAACCTTATATTTCTGAATTTATCCCCAAGATTATTCTCTAACCAGTAGTTTTTGGATCCGAATCTCTTCTCATTCCCAATTCGCATAGCACTTACCCTCTGACCGAGTAACAAAACTTTATCGAGGCAAACAGCAAACTCTCGACATGTGCGACCATGAAATCTGATATGCTACAAAGGGAATGGGAAGGAATATAAGTATACCCACCCTGCCTGCAACGTGCTACTAATAGAATAATTCGTTAATGTAACTACAAGATGCAAAGATACGCCGATAGACAATAATCCATTGATGACAGCTAAAGTAACAACAGAAGCAGCGGCGATTATCATTGGCTTTTTATCTAAATTTAATTCGATGCGAACGAGAAGATTGCACTTTTGCCAGTTGAAAATCCATCTGTTCCAGCATTTTCTGCCTGGCTACAAAAACGACTTAATGGAATTAGGGTGGATTGATTGGTTTAAGTGCAAATATGAAATCATACCAGCTGAAATGTTTTAGCAAAAAATGATTTAAAATATTTAAATAATAGCATAGCTTACAAAACTAAAGCTAACATGGGAGGACGTTGTACAATTTAGGTTTTAAGGATAGTTACAAAAAATTATTAGGATTAATAGTTTTATAAAAGGACATTTTTTTGGTTTTTGTTTATAACATTTTTTTTTGGTATTTTTACTATAGTTAAATTCAATTTAAATTGCAGTCGTGTATTTTTAACAACAACATATATTGTATAAACAGATTGAATGGGTTGTAGATAAATAAAATAGTTACTTTTAGGATTTGTATGAATGAAAAAATGTTTAAGGTAGTCAGTCTTCGATGCAAAAGTAAATTCAATTAAAATTGCTGGCGTGTATTTTTATCAATATATATATAAATAAAATATAGTATTTTGGAATTGTAATTTTTAGCTTAAGCAGTTTTGTATATTTTTTCTTTGTAAATATTTTTCTGTTATATTTATTGAAATCATATACTCACATGGATGGGTGGCGGCGAAGGGGTAGTCGAGAGTTGGCAAGCGCGGAGGATGAGGGCCGCAGGGATGCAGGGCTGGAGGACACTGGTAGCAAAACATTCCTCTGCCCGCGGCTGCAGGACCGAGCTGAAATCGAAATCAAAATCAAAATAGGAATAAGGAATCAGAGTTAAGAATTCAGAATCAAAATCAGTGTCAGAATCATCAGCAGTATCAAAAGGGCTTACTCATCGAACGAAATTGAGAAAAAGAATCTTTAAATTGCATGTAATTTTGATAAATTCACTTGCCAATCAACGTGAAACTTGTAATTTAAGTGCACAATTCAATTGGAGACTGAGGGCATTTAGGCATGCGGGTATTTCTGTTCTTCTGCATTCTGCTTTTTGTGGGGCGACTTTGCGTCGCCTTTAATGTTGTCATATGCACCTCAAACTCAATTCGATTCAATTAAAGGCAATTACAGACTTCTGACAAATCATCCATCCACAATCGATTTCATCTGCTTTTGCATCTTCGTTTCTGTTTCAGTTTTAGTTTTCTGTTGCTGCATTGTGTGTCGTCTGCATACAATTAAATTGTCCTCAAACGAATCAATTGATTTAAATTAATTGCATTTGCCGCAAAAGACTCGGCATCGGCATATAACTATGGCCGTAACTGTAACTGGTCTTGATGAACTCACTTCAGTTATGAGTCGATGTTTTGCGTTCTGCTGGCGCCTTTCACAATGCAGTTTGTAGCTTAATTAGTCGAGGAATTTCTCGGGGAGGAAAAAATGCTCTATCTTTGAGATACAAATAGGGTTGGGCGAAGAAGTCGCATTGTCAAGATAGAGATTGTAAGATAGAAAAGATCAGTGAAAGGCGCTGAGAAAGTTCGTATGCCATTTGGCAAATTGAAATTGATATTGGTGGGAAAAAAAAGTCTATGCCAAAGAGGTTGTGCTAAATAAATTTTACTTTTAAATTTTGAATCAGTTCTCTAAAACATGTTCGCCTTCCTTTTTTAGTTATAAGCAATATTCGATATTAAAATGTATTTCTTTATCAATAAGTTATATATATTTAAATATTTAGAGAAGGTTAAATTTCAAAACAGTAGTTTTTTAATAAAAATAATAAATATAATCCACATTCGAGATAAAAATCATATGCAAACTGCGTTCAATATTTCTTTATTCATAAGTGGACACACGCCAATTTCCTGTGTTTGTGCATCTATTTTTCCTCGTTTTTGCCCATCATATTTTCAGTTACATTTCAATTGCAATTAAAATTAATTGTAACTTCTATATGACACATCACCCGCACGCTTACATCCAGAAAAGCCCAGCCAACCAAACCACCAAAAATGTTGTACCATCCGGATTGCAGGTGGTCCTTTGGCTTCCTCTGCACAGACATTTTAATTTATTTGAGTAAATTTGTTAAAAAAGAAATTGTATGAATTTTATTTATGGCTCTCGCCACACGACTGTTGGTAGTTGGTAGCACCCACAATTTATATGGCACCCACACCCACCCAACGCGCAGTGCAACACAAGTGTTAGCATATCATGTTACAGACTATTTCCGCCAAATTTACACACGCAAAATAATTTAACGATCTCAGCGGCAGCGCGTGTCCTGCCTACGCTTTGTATCCTGAATGCACTGAGAAAAACTCAGAGTATAACAAGGAGTTGATACTAAAAATTTGTATAAGAAAATACTAAAAAAAATATGTATGAAAAAAAATATTATTAAAACTCTTTTACTACTTGTAACTACTAATATTAAAATTAATTATTATACTAGAGAAAACAAAAATGTTTTTTAATTTGATTTATTTTAAATACTTTGTTAACTAATTCTTGTGGCATTTGCCTGAAAAAGTTATATTTTATTTTGTCATTTAAAATTTTATTTTGAGTAACAATACTATTTGGAATATAAGCACTAACATTAAATCGCACCTACTTATATTATTATATTTCTTATAATTTTTTTTTTATTTTAATTGATTTTAAGAATTTAAAACAATGTTGAATATTCTTACTTAATAGAGTATTATGTATTTTGGACTTCCTCGGTATTAGCTTGCAAAAATTCTATATAATTTTGGGCTATAATTATTTTAAGAAATTTGTTCAAGTGTTCTTATACAGCCTACTGTTTCCTGGTCGCAGATGTGGCCGTGTTCCCAAAAGTCTCGACCCGACAAGTGGCGCCAATAAATTTCCATTTAGCACGGGAACGAGTCGCTCCACCCGCTCACTCTTCTCACCTGTCCCTTTTTGGCGCCACGCCCCTTTACCGGTCACGCCCCCCGCCCCCTAACCCCTCTCCCGTGGGCCACGGCATTCCATTAGAATTGTGAGAATTTGTAATTTTGCATAATTGTTATATTTGGAGTCCGTCGGCCGCAAAACTCATTTGGCAAATGGAAAATTGCCATTTCGTGTCTAATGTTGCACATGCGACCCGTTGGCAACTGGTCCACAGGACCTGGCTCTAAAGTTTTAGTGCCATCAGAAGAGGGATTTTGGGGCAGTCCGGCCATTGCTGGTGTTGTTAGTGAATTAATTTCCAGTGAATAATTTATGCCGAATTATTTTGGACGTATTAAATAGGCACACAACAGAGGGGCTTTTGCGGTGCTCAGTAGTGGTAGTAGTAGTAGTATTAGTAGAGTACCCCGGATAATACCCCCATATGCTTAACACGGGCGAAACCTTGGGGCGTTACATTTAAATCAAATCAAAATGCTATTTCTGAAATTGATTTTTGAAATTTTAATGTCCCCGGACATGGAGCGGTGCAGATTATGTAACCCTCTCTAATGGAATGTTCGGATGGGCCAAATTAGTTGGCACAACTATGAGACACAAATTGGACAGGGCTTTTACTTTGGCCATGAGTTTGCATTGGGCCAAAAGCTTCTGTTAGAGGATGTTTGGGCAGTGATAATAATTTCAACGAGTAATCAAGGCATTTATTGGCCAAGAAATGCAAGAGAAATATATTTCATCATCAATTTCAATTTCGATTCAACAATATTATTATCGTAGGGCTACAATATGTTTATTTTTTTTTTATTTATTTTATTAAGTTATTTTTTTATTTTTTGCTTAAGTTTTTTGTTCAAAGATTTAGCTTTAATGCTAATATAAACAACTTTTGTACCAATATCAAGACAAGTAATTTATGTGCAAATGGGTTTTAGTAATTTTACGACGAAAATAAATTTAGTTGAACTTAACTTATGTAGATTTTAGCAACAAGTACAGAAGATTCATCGTTATACAGTCAATATTTCATCCAATCCACTTTAGTTGCAATTCTCAGTCGTTGCAAGCCACTTGGAATCGACAGTTTATAGTTCAGCTTAAAAAAAAATGAAGTTCCTGGCCACGTTATCCCTTATTTGTGTTCTAATGGGCCTTGCCCAAGGACAATCCGATAGTGAGTACCATAAAATAATTTAAGTGCATTTCAAACTTATATATATATTTCTTCTCTTAGTAATCTGTTCCTTGGAAGCCTTGCCTGTGGGAACGTGTGTTAACAGGATTGTAGGGTATACCTATTCGAGATTTAGGGATCGGTGCACCAACTATGAAACCAGGGGATGTGAAGTTAGGGGAAATTATTTCGCCAACCGAGATGTTTGTGAAGCCAAATGCAAGCGTCAGCTAACATTTAGAGAAGCCCCATTCTCATTTTTTGTGGAAAGAGCTTTTAACCAGGCTCGCAACATTTTATCAAGAATTTTGAATTTTTCGTTGTTTTCTAATTGATGAATAAAAGCATTTCAGCAAAGAATCTTACTTAAAAATCTTTTAAAAATGGTACGAAAGTCAAACCTTAACAATAATAATAACGTTGTATTTTTATTCATATAATAAGTAAAGTTATATTCTGTCAAAATAAAAAAGAAAACAAAACATAAATAAAAAGTCAAGAAAATGTTAAAGTTTACTATTTAAATGTTTGCTCTTAAAATACTTGTTTTTAATTATTATGTAAGTAAAGGTCTTTGATTCTATAGCTCTTTCTAATTCAAACAAAAATTATATTTTGAATATGTTTTAATGGGTTTAAAATAAGATGTCAAAAGCTAATGTACACAACCATTTAAAAATACAATAATTGCAATTTAAAAACTGAAACTAATTCTGCCTATATTTCTTGGCATCACTTTGACTTAATATTTTTAGTCATTGGCTATCAGCTGAAAGCGACACTTTAACTTTTGAGAAATGAAACTCCTTGCCGCTTTTTCCCTAATATTTATCCTTATTAATATTGTGCTTGCTCAAAAGGATCGTAAGTTTTAAATTAATAAGATAATATGTAATTTGTTTGATACACATTCAGTTCTTTAGCCATTTGTAGCTCTGAGCCAGTTGTCGTTGGAAATTGCAGGGAGACAGTTAAAGGCTACACCTTTATAGCCGGAAGAAATAGATGCAAAAGATTTCTAGTAAAAGCCTGTGTGGTGACTGGAAATTATTTCCGTAGCAGAAATGAGTGTAAGTCAAAATGTCGGTTGACCAATGTTTCTGAAGAAAACGGATTTATAAAGTGCTGGAGACGAATTGTGAGGCAGTTTCAAGATATGATTTCAAGCCTAATAAACTTTGCCAGATTTTAAGACATAAATTGGTCAACCAATAAATTGTATTGGAAACAATCTACAGTGACTGAAAATTATTTTCGTACCAGAAAAAATTTGGATTACTAAAAATTCTTTAAAATTTTCACTTGGCCATTTTCCTACGCCACTTAAATTGCCCATATCTAGGCTGACCCTGCTAATTGTCATCACCTGTGAATTTGCCCACCTGAAGTGGAGTTGGTGTTGCTGTTGCTGCTGCTGCAATTGCAATAGGTGTTGCAAATGTCGCTGACAACCGGCAACTGGCGACGCCAAGCGAAATGCAATTATCCAATTGCACGAAATGCACTTGGCAATGTTTGTGGCCTAGACAATGCAACACAACTCGCTGGTGCAAGTGTGTGTGTGTGTATCTGTGCGAGGGTGTGTGCGTGAGTATCTGTGTGTGGATGGTGAAGCAGCACACGCGAAATTCAATTAAGTGCGCACTAAACAGCGCAACGATTTCGATTTGACTGCACTTCCCAAAACGCCAAGCGAAATCGCTGGGAAAACGCAATGCACACTGTAAAAAATCTTCCATATATTTAAAGATCTTTATATCTTAATCTTTGCCAAGGTATAAAAAAAAGATCTCGAAAATATCAAAAAAATATAAAACGTTAATTATAAAAATTTTAAAAAAGGAACTGAAAACACCAAATAATAAAACAAAATGGCGTAAAAAATTCAAAGAGCATTGCTTGATTTGAAAGTTTAGTTTATCTCAGTGCAGGGAAAATGGATGGAAAATGCTGAATGGAGAGAGGGGCGGGTGGGAAAGGGCTGGCAGATTGGTGGAAATCTGTGTGGTAAGCCTTTGTTGTCCAGTCGGCCCTCGGACATGGGGTTTAATGGGGGGTAATGGAAGCATGCGCTAGTTTCTGCCACGAGCCGTCGCCAAAAACGGGGAAATTCAATCAGAGCGGGAGGATTACGATTTGGAGGGGACTTTAGAAGGGGGAAAACACAGAGCAGAAAACACAGAACACATAAGCGGATGTGGATGTGGATGTGGATGTGGATGTGGATGCAGTGTTCGCAAAATTGCATTAGGTGACGAAGAGAAGTTGGAGGAGTCAGCTTGATGGGTCTGAAAATTGTAGGAAATAGGACTGTTGAACCACTCAATTTAATGGCAATTGAACGCTTTTTCAATCAGTTGAGGGCTTTTATTGAGGAAGAAACACATTCAGCTAATATTAATTAGTTTTGCATTAAAGCTAAACAAATAACTCAATGAAAATGGCAAGTACACAATATTTAAAATAAAAGTCTTCTTCAGAGAATATTAAATTAATTTTAGAAGTTCCCAAAAAAGTTATTTAATAAGTTCAACATAAAAAACAAATTTAAAAAAAATAAGGATCTCCTTTATATAAATTCAAAACATTTAAGTAGTTCCCAGAAAGGTAATTAAATGTATTTAGCCTTAACAAATCAACACATAATTCAAAGAAAACTACACAAAATTAATATTGAAATTTAAAAGTCTCCTTATTAATATAAATTCAAATCATTTTGTAATTACCAAAAATGTTATATAATTAGTTTCGTATTAAAAGATCAACATATATATCTCACGAGAAGGACGAGAAATTTAAAATTTAAAGTCACCTTTATATAATGTCAAAACATTTCAGTAGCTCCCGGAAAAGTTATTTAAAATGCAATCACAGCATATTTTTATTTATTTCCATACTGCCAACCCCCCATCTATTTAATTGTGCCTTGTGAGTGGCTGAAACAAGTACACAAAATAAAATACGAAATTAACTCAAAATTAATTAAAACGCATCAGAACATAATGCAATTTGTTGCAGCGGCAGAAGCGACAACTGCTGACGGCATTATGCAACAGCTGCAGCTATAAAAAGTAATATAAATATAAATTAATAATGTCACGAATGACAACAGCAACAACAACAACAGCGGAGAGACAAAACGAGCAATTGCATTAATTGAGCAAACAACAAAGTGGGAAATGCAATGCGTCTGGACAACAGAAAACATGAATATGGATGAGTCTGAACTGGAAGCCAATGCCAATGCACTTTCCAAGCAACAAATGAATTTTGCTGCACCAGCGAAAAATACAAGAAAAAAAAAATAACGAGCCGCAGGAATTATCAACTGTCGCTTGATTAATTTGAATTAACGAAATTAAAAATGGAAACACAAGTCAATCAGCGAGTGCAACACCCAGAAGCGATGAGTTTCCAGGGGGGCAGAAAGGGGTTAACAGAGACAGAATGTGGTGATAATTTATCTGAACTATACAGCTGGAAAAAATAAAACAAAGCAGCGTTATTACTTAAGATTTTTATTTGATTCTAGAAGTTTGGGATTTTTAAAAGGGGATAAGTATATTAAGCCAGTTTCAACGATTTTAATAGCTTTCCATTTATTATTAACTCTTTAACCCCTTAAAAATATATTTTAAAATAAGGACATGAACTGTCAAACAAAACAATAAATTGCTTATAAAAACAAAAATTATAACGACATTTTTTTATTTATAAAGTTGTATTCAACAATAAAGTAAATTATTGCTAAAAATGTTAGAATGATTCTTTTACAGGAGTAAGCTTAATATAGAAAATAAGTGGATCATTTACTTTTAAGTGTATTAAAATTAAAAAAAGTATTTAAAGCCCAAAATAAATTCTTTTTCCCATACAGCTATCAAAAGTTTGTTTATACAATTATTATTAGTGTTATAAAAAGCAACTTAAGGAATTCAGCAAATATCTTACTCCCAAGCTTACCAGTAAGACTATATTTAAGCAAACATATTTCCACTCCATTTCTTTTCTTTTAAAATTTTCATAAATTAATTCAGATTAGAAATTTTATCAGAAGTCTGAGGACTTTAGCAGATCATTTTTTTAAGAGCTTGGGAGTAAGCTGGTAATTAAACAAATTGAAGCACACCTTTTCCTTAGTTTCTTTTAATTAATTCCAGATTTTTTGCAACCTCTTGAACTTCAGACAGACATTTCTTTTATTTTCCAAGCTCTTTTTCTGAATTTCTGCAGCCTTTTGAAGGTCAGACTGACCACTGACGACCTCCTTTCGTTCAGGGGCAGCTGGACTAATGGACTTATCGCTCGCTTGAATCTCGGTTCGCAAAATCGCGACTAAACGAGACGGATTCACTTGTGTTCGGAAACAAGAGTGCAGTGCCAGCTGGAAAGTGGCATAATTCGCTTGCAGTCTGGCACTGCTTCCATTTATAGTCCGGTATATATGGCATACGGTTCGTATCCATGGGTATATCCACGTGCGCATCCCTGCTCCAAAACCCCGTCCCGCTGGCATTAGAGCCACTTAAACGCATTTGCGAAATTGCCTACCGCCCACCCACACACTCGTTTTGCAGCTCTAGTTTTCCTAGTTTTCCTAGTTTTCTTTCGTGTTTGCCCCAAACTGCTAGCGCGATAATTTCCCACTGAGGTGAGATGATATGGAAATGGATGATATGGGGGGCGGTGCAGGAGGTGGTTGGCAGGAAAACACTCGACCAGCGATGAGGTTATCACTTTTGCCACCGAAGTAAAGTGCATCCGTTTTTAGAACTGTCCGTCCGTTCGTCTGTCCGTCCGTTTGTCCGTCCGGCATAATCAAACTAAACTGGCGCAGTCTGCCACTGATGATCCAACTTAGAGTGGGCTTTGATATGAGCACGTTGGAAACAGTGAAGCCTCGTTAGCAAATAATTAAAGCAAAGGATTTTACAAAATAAATTCACAAGGAAAAACAAAAAAGTTCAATGTTTTAACATTATTTCAACGACTTCCATTATTTTGTAAATCCAAAAAGTATTAATTTAAAATACCCAATACCCAAAAAAAAAAAATATATTTTTTTATATATTATATATTAATTAATAAGCAAATATTATTGATTAGTCATCTTCTGGAATTAAAAAAGAATGAATAATTAGAAATCCTTTAAATGGTATACCCACTGTCTAGTCAAACCATTTGCATATGCCCCCATCTAAGTATCCCTGTTGATTGCAGTTTTGGTTGAGCATTTTCTATTTGTATTATTTCTTTCTTTTTTGCTGCTTTCAGTGCTTTTGTTTTTGTCTCGCGGCGCATTAAGCGAATTTGCGAGGTTCGAATTTGATTGTGTCAATTGGCTCGCGCCTAGAATCAGAGAATC